AGGCTCTGGCCACGTGCCCTCTGGGGGCCTGGGGTGGTGGGGCGGGGTGGGGGAGCCCCCGAGCCTTAGTTTCCCTGATTATACCGTGAGGGAGACGGTGGTCTTACCACTTATTCAAACCAGGCCCCTCACAGGGATGCAGGGGAGGCTGCGGGTGAACTCCCGGACGGAGCCAGGACTCTGGGCGGCTGGCGGTCACCCCCGTCGTCTCGAAGGGCCTTCACCGCTCTTGAAGCGGACGTGGGCTCAGATCTCGGTCTGGCTGCCTTCTGACCCAGAGCCGAAGTCCACTACCATCTGGGCCTCAGTTTCTCTACCTGTGAAGTGGGCTGATTGCTGGAGGGAGGCCAGGGGCTGCGTGTGCTGCCAGGGGCGTGGGTGCCCCCGGAGGATGCCGGCCTGAATGCTTTCTCCACACTCCTCTTTCCCTGAGGGCTATGTCCCAGGCCAGCCTGGGCTGGACTGAGAGCCACTGGGAGTGGTTCTGGAAGGCCAGGGGCCTGAGTGCCTGCGGCGGGGGGGAGCGGCCAGGCCAGGCAGACGCTGTGCCCACGACGCGCCTGCCCCCTTCCGAGCCCTGAAAGAAAGCCTGGCCTTGCCGGCTGCGATTGTGGTTGGGAGCTGTGTAATTAACTCTAAAAATGGGAGGCCGAGGAGGAATTAAAATAAGGGCTTAGTGGAAATTAGAGACGAGTGGTGTGCAGAAAAGCCTGGAGCCAGGCTGGAAGCTGCAGACGTCCTGCAGGGCAGCGGGGAGGACAGGGTCTGATGCTGCAGGCTGTGGGGGGAGGTGGGGGGCCTGGGGGGGCCCTGGGGGACAGGCGGCTTGGGCTCAGACACGCCCCCGGGTCTGCAGGCTGCTCTCAGGGGTAGGATGGGGGTGAAGCAGCTGAAGGCACAGTTCTGGGTGTCTGAGATCCGGTGACGGGACGGGCTTTCTCGGGGTCAGGGTGCGAGACTCCGTCCCAGGCCCTCCCCCAGGTCCCGGTGGCTTCTTTGGCTCCTAGAGCGTCTGCTGAGTCTCACACAGCCTCCTCCCTGTATGTCTGTTTCTCTGTGACTCTGTTTTGTGAATTACGCTTTTTTTTTTTATCACAGTAAAATACACAAAGCTTAAAACTGCCATTTTAACCACTGCTAAGTATACAGTTCAGTGGCATCGAGTGCGTTCACGCTGCTGTGTGACCATCGCCGCCAGTGTTTCCTGGGCTTGTTCTTCCCAGACGGAAGCTCTGTCCCCACTGGACGCTCAGCCGCCCTCCCGCAGCCCCGGCGCCGGCCTCCTCCTGGGCCTGAGCATGCGCACGCCCCGGGCCCCGCACGCCAGTGATGCCCCGCAGCACCTGTCTTGGTGTGTCTGTGTTCTCCAGAAAGGTCAGGTGAGGGAAGACGAAGACGGGGCTGTTCCAGGGCCACATGTCCAAACCAGCAGCTGTAGCCAGTTTTGCAACTAAATTTAAACCATTAGAATAAAGTGAAATTACAAGTGCACTTGCTTGGCCGGACTGGCCACATTGCCAGAGCTCAGCAGGCATGCGTGCCTGATGCCGCCCCACTGGACCGGGCTCACAGGACGTTTCCGTCCTTCCAGAAAGTTCTGTCGGAGAATGCTCTTCCAGGTTCATGGAGGCAGAAAGGACTTGATTAAAGTCACCTGTGATCCAGGATTATGCCGGGACTGTGTTCTATCAGGACGTCTTGTTTGTCCTTTATCTAGTAAGAAATGTTGAGTGCTGTCTAGAGATGAGGTAATGTGGGGCCTATGTTAATTTCCTGCTTTTGACATTGGTGCTGTGACTGGGGGCGGGGAGTCCTTGTTCTCAGGAACTACACACTCAGGTGTTGGGGAGGAGGGGCCGCATCTGCACTTTTCTCCTATGTGTTCAGAAAAAGTGTGCACACAGGGATACACACAGATGAAAAGGTGCACATTGATGCACACAGCTATACACACAGAAATACATGCAGGTACACGCAGATACACACAGAAATACACGCAGATACACACAGATACACACACGGAAATACACGCAGGTACACACACGGAAATACACAGATACACACAGGTAAGCAGATACACACACAGAAATACACGCAGATACAGATACACACAGAAATACACACAGATACACACAGAAATACACACACAGAAATACACGCAGATACACACAGATACACACAGAAATACACACATGGAAATACACGCAGATACACACAGATACACACAGATACACACACGGAAATACACAGATACACATTGATGCACACAGATACACACACAGAAATACATGCATATACACACAGATACACACAGATACACACACGGAAATACATGCAGATACACACAGATACACACACACACGGAAATACACGCAGATACACACACATACACACAGATACACACACGGAAATACACAGATACACATTGATGCACACAGATACACACACAGAAATACACGCAGATACACACAGATACACACACAGAAATACATGCAGGTACACACAGATACACACAGAAATACACACACAGAAATACACGCAGATACACACAGATACACACACGGAAATACACAGATACACACAGGTAAGCAGATACACACACAGAAATACACGCAGATACAGATACACACAGAAATACACACAGATACACACGCAGATACGCACAGATACACACACGGAAATACATGCAGGTACACACAGATACAGACAGATACACACAGATATACACGCAGATACACACAGATACACACAGATACACACACGGAAATACACAGATACACACAGGTAAGCAGATACACACACAGAAATACACGCAGATACAGATACACACAGAAATACACACAGATACACACGCAGATACGCACAGATACACACACGGAAATACATGCAGGTACACACAGATACAGACAGATACACACAGAAATACACGCAGATACACACAGATACACACACAGAAATACATGCAGATACACACAGATACACACAGAAATACACACACAGAAATACACGCAGATACACACAGATACACACAGATACACACACGGAAATACACAGATACACACAGGTAAGCAGATACACACACAGAAATACACGCAGATACAGATACACACAGAAATACACACAGATACACACGCAGATACGCACAGATACACACACGGAAATACATGCAGGTACACACAGATACAGACAGATACACACAGAAATACACGCAGATACACACAGATACACACACAGAAATACATGCAGATACACACAGATACACACAGAAATACACACACAGAAATACACGCAGATACACACAGATACACACAGATACACACACGGAAATACATGCAGGTACACACAGATACACACAGAAATACACGCAGATACACACACAAATACATGCAGATACACACGGAAATACACGCAGATACACACACATACACACAGATACACATACGGAAATACACAGATACACACAGGTAAGCAGATACACACACAGAAATACACGCAGATACAGATACACACAGAAATACACACAGATACACACAGATACACACGCAGATACACACAGATACACACAGATACACACACGGAAATACACAGATACACATTGATGCACACAGGTAAGCAGATACACACCATCACACAGATACACACACATAAACACACGCAGATAGACACTGATAAACACAGATAAACACATAGATGCCTGTACACACAGGTAGGGAATAATTAACACACCACGAGCACGTGAGCCGGTGTTGTCTCTGACCAGTGACCAGCCCAGCCGTGATGGAGGAGCGGCCCCACGTGGAGGCTGCTCCGGGCCCGGGGTGATGCCCGCTGGGGGCCGGTGGGCGGGAGGATCCGTGTCTGCTGGGCTCCACGTGTCCCCTGGGAGTTCTGTGTGCAGCTGGGCTGACGCCATGCCTGCCATAGCTTCTGATTCTGGCCTGGCCTTCATCTGCATCTGTCCATTTGTTCAAGTTTCCGGTCAGCAGACCTGCATCTCTGCAGGTCTCTTGAAGTTGAGCTGTTGGGCCCTTGGAAGTGAAAGTCGCTCAGTCGTGTCCAACTCCATGGACTATATACAGTCCTTGGAATTCTCCATACTGGCGTGGGTAGCCTTTCCATTCTCCAGCGGATCTTCCCGACCCAGAGAGCCAACCCAGGGATCGAACCCGGGTCTCCCGCATTACACAAAGATTCCTTACCAGCTGAGCTGTATCCCTTAGAGGCTGTCCCGATGGGGTTAATGGGTCCGCACCCTCTGGCTTGGTGTTCAGCTCTGCACCGTGGTCCTGACCTTGTGGGCACCACGCCGAGGTGGACTGGTGGGGATCTGCTGGCTCCGCTCTGTGCCATCGGGGCAGGTCATCAACTCCGCCAGGCACGTCCTGCTAGGGAACCAGGCCTCAGGAGCCCTGGTCCAGCTGCAGGGACTGGACAGGATCCGAACCCGGGGCCCTGTGACTCTGAGGTCTGCGCTCCAGGCCGCCTTGTCAGCTGCCCCCATCTTTCCCGGCTCCCTCTCCACAGGGACTGGCAGCCCATGACCCTGTTCAGCCGCCCACCCCCCGCCTCCTGTTCCGGCTGTGCTGCCCACGGTGGGCTGGGAGCGCAGATGCCGGGTTCCTGGGTGGAGGAGGCGCCTGGAGGCTGCTCTGGGGTTTGACGCTGGCCTTCGTGCTCCCTGCTTCCGTGTGTGCCCTGCGCTGCTCCAGGGCTCCGCGTGGCTTCCGTGGGCCTTTGTCATGTGCAGAGCAACGGGAATGTGTCTGTGCCGGGGAAGGCAGTGTGCACGTGTGTGTGCGTGCTCCATGCCCGCTGACTGAACCCCAGTCTGTTTTGTTCCAACCGTGATCGTCTTGAGTTGGGACGTGTGGCTCCCCAGACGGGGTATGGCCACGGCGTCTGCTCTGAGCTGGGCGGCGCTGGGAGGCAGGGTTTGCTGCTGTTGGTGTTAGTGGCCCGCAGACCATGCAGCTTGAGTGATGCTCCCTTCTCTCCTCTAGTTCCTGTGTCTGAAGAATATCCGCACCTTCCTGAAAGTCTGCCATGACAAGTTTGGACTCAGGAACAGCGAGCTGTTTGACCCTTTCGACCTCTTCGATGTCCGAGACTTCGGGAAGGTGAGTGGCCTCTTTCCGGAGCGGGCCCGACCCCTCCGGGCAGAGCCCCATGGGCGGGTGCAGGCCGGGCTGTGTTACAACCGGAGGAGGCGCTTCGGGGGCTGGGGCTGTGGGACGGCCCCTCCCGCCTTCTCAGGCTGTTCAGAGTGAAGTCAGGGCATCGTGAACCCAGGAGGATAGAGGGAAAGCTGGCCTGGGTGAGTCCAGACCCGGGGTGCAGCCCTGCCCCGGCTTTTCCAGTCGAGCGACCCTGGGCGTTTGCTTCCTGCCCTGAATCTCCCACCCTCTCTGGGCGAGCAGGCACCAGCTCGTGGGGCGGGCCCAGATGGGCAGGCCCCGCGCTTGCTGCAGTGTGCTGAGAAGGGAGCTGCCGCCTCCGCCTCACCGGAGACAAGTGGGGCTGTGTGGCTCCCAGCAGGGTCGGGCGGGGACAGGTGATCATGTGAACTCCTCGTCCCTGGAAGTGATGCACTGGGTCCGTGGCAGAGAACTCGGGAAGCCTCCCTGCTTTCTCAGCAAGTGTCCGCAGCCGCTGTTGGGCAGAGTCCACGGCCGGGCGGGGTTGCAGCGCGCCGTGGCTCCTGGTGAGCCTGGGTCCACAGTGTCCTTGCCGGGCGTCACGTTCCATCTGGAAGCCAACAGTTCCCGGGTCCCTCCTTTTAAAAGATGGAGTCAGGACGTGATACCTTGCTGGTGGATCGGGGGCCGGGGGCTGGCGTCGGACCTGGCTCTGTGCTGTGCTGTGGTGCAGTTGTCCCCGAGTCCCTGCCTGCTCTTGGGGGGGCCCTTCCCTCCACGGTCAGTGCTGGCTTTGTGAAACGGGCACTTCCCGGACTACCCAGGGACGAGCTTTCACCTGCTTACGGGAAGTTATCAGACAATATTTATTGCCTGCTTTATCTGAGGACCATTATCAGGGACCTGGTGTTTGAGGAAGTGTTCTGTGAACACATGATTTATGAAATGCAAGGGGAATTTTGTATTTGCAAATGCTGAGAAGTCAGTTCCAAGAGGAGCCCTCATTCGGGTGCTGTAAAGTGTCAAATTAGCATCGATCACTAGGACCTTCCCATAAGCCACCTGGGCCTGACAGTCCTCCTCTTCGCTTCTGAGAGTCTATAGACGTGATTCGGGGACCAGCTGTGTCTGCACCAGCGCTCAGAAGTCTCTCCTCCTCTCTTTTATTTTTTTTTTTTCTCCTCCTCTCTTGAGTGACTCTCCCACGTCCCTCTGCTGCGAGGCGTTAGCCTAGGACTCTGAGGCTTCCTGGCTTCCCTTTGCTGGGGCAGGAGCCCGTGCCAGCGCCCTTCCCATCAGTGAGCTTCGCAGCTTCCGCAGACTTGCTTTTAAGTGGATTAGAACCTCTTTCCTGTTTTTACTTCTTGTGACCAGCAGTGTCCTGAGCAGGGGAGAAGCCAGTGGCTCTGGACTTTGGGGGAGGCCTTCAGAACACACACATATACTTTTCTACAAATACTCACACAACTGGTGTTTAAAACAATTGTATAGGAAAACAGGATAAACCCTGGCCAAACCCCTTCCTTGGCCAGTGGTGAAGGCAGTGTCCGGCCTGTGTGCCGTGAAGTAAAGGTGGACATAAATTTGGGTTAAATTCTCGTCCCGTGATCTGCCAGCCGCGGCCAAGCACTTGGAAAGGGGTTGCCCCTCGTGGTTGTCAGTGGTCCCCACGGGCGATTTGAGCCCCCGGGGGGATATGCTTGCTGCCTGCAAAGGGGGCCGGCCATGCTGGGAAGCTGCGAGTGGGCAGTGGGTTTGGGCTCTGAGTCAGGGCATGAAGCTGGGGGTAGACTGGGGGAGCCACAGGGCCTTGGTTCAGCCTCACTTCCTGCAGGGAGGCTCCGGGGAGGGCAGAGCTGCCCTGAATCTGCCCCTGCTTTTCATGTCGAGTTGGATGGATCTGCTTCAAAATCTGGTTCCACTTAGTGGCCCCTGACCTCGGCAGACGGCACGGCCACCCTGACCTGCCTCGGCTGGCCGAGGGTCAGGTGGGTCAGGGAGCCTGCCCTGTGCCGCCTGGCCCGCAGTAGGTGCTCATTAAACGGCGATGCTGTCGCCTGAGCCCACCCCCCCCCCCACCAGGTCCAGTGGACGTGAAACTAGTGCAGTGCAGTTGGGTGGCGGCCTGCCTGTCTCAGTTCTCCTGCGTCATTTTATTTGCGCCGCCTTCCGGAGCCCAGCCCGGCCCTCCTGCTGGCCTTGCCCATCTGGCTGAGCTTCCGTGTCCTGCCCTCCTTCCTCCCTGCTTAGTTTTCTGAGCGCAGTGAAGCTGTGATCAAGCACCCTGAGATGGGTTGGATGTGGGGCCAGCCAAGGCTGGGGCGCTGAGACGGGTGTCTCTCCACGCAGGGGCCACTGACCAGAGCCTGCCCTGCTGGGCTCGTCCCCGCTGATGTTGGGGGATGGGACCCCCTGGAAAGCATACACAGGCCAGGCTCTGGCTCCGCACCGCCGCCTGCCCAGCTCCAGGTCACAGACATGGGGACTGAAGTCGCCCCGGGCAGCCGGGCAGGGCAGCCGTGGACGGGCGGCAGAGCCGGGGCTCCAGCCTGCGGGACGAGGCAGAGGGGCAGCCAGGCCTCACTTGGGTGTGGCTTCCCGGCCAGCCTGGGGGGACATCCTGTGACAGTTGGCAGGTGGCGCCGCGCACAGAGACAGCGGCCGCGCACGTGGGCCCCACGGCCGGTTGGCCTTTGGCCCTTGGGGAGCTCTGCCCCGTGGGGTCAGCCGCTCAGTCCAGGTGGGCCTGTGGTGCTCGGAGGTGTCAGACCACTAAGGCATGACGGCGACTCTGCCCTCGCTGCTGGCCCGGTCCCTGCCCGCCGGACCTGCCTGGAGCCCCTGTTGAGAGTGATGCTAGGGAGCTCTGCCCCGTGGGGTCAGCCGCTCAGTCCAGGTGGGCCTGTGGTGCTCGGAGGTGTCAGACCACTAAGGCATGACGGCGACTCTGCCCTTGCTGCTGGCCTGGTCCCTGCCCGCCGGACCTGCCTGGAGCCCCTGTTGAGAGTGATGCTGAAGTCAGTCCCTGGACACGGGGCAGGGGCTTGGGGTCAGTTGTGCTCTCCCAGAGTCGGGGGGCAGGGATTCAAGGGGCCCTACTCCTTTCTCAGCTTGCATCCTTCGCTTATGTCCTAGGATTCAGGAGAGTAAAGGATCCTTATGGTGTGGCTGGCTCGTCAGTCTCAGGCTGGTTTAGAATTTTCCAGATTTTTTTTTTTTTTTTTGCCATTATTTAGAAGGTTTGTAAAGCGTTCACGTCCTGTCTGGGTTCTGGGTATCATTCTTTTTCTAAGCGGCTGCCTCTCAGCTTCCCAAGTCTCCCAGCATTATTGGGAGTTGTTCCTTGAGAAGGGAGCATGCATGCATGCTCGGTCGTGTCTGAGTCTCTGCAACCCCATGGACTGTAGCCCACCAGGCTACTCTGTCCATGGAGCTTTCCATGGCAAGAATCCTGGAGTGGCTTGCCATTTCCCACTCCAGGTTGGGGAGGGAAAAGGCATTCATTCCTTGGTTCCTCTGTTCATTTCTTGGTTCCACTCCTCTATTAAACATCCAATAAGCCCCCAAGAATTTTTTTAATTCTTTTATTTTTTGATCGAAGGGTAGTTGCTTTTATTTTTTAATTTATTTTTTAAATTAATTGGATAATTAATTTAATTTAATTATTGCTTTACAGAATATTGGATATTTGCTTTACAATAATTGCTTTACAGAATTTTATTGTTTTCTGTCAAACCTAAACGTGAATCAGCCATAGGTATATATATATATACCCCCTCTCTCACCCCCAAGAATTTATTAAACACTTACTATGCCGAGATACGATGGAAAGATTTGCATGACCTTTGCCCTCTGAGGGTCCCCCACATTAGCAGCTGTGCAGTTCATGGTGAGAGGAAGAGTGGGCAGGTGAAGGCTCTAAGCTCTCCCCCTGGAACTGCCTGGTGCTGACCCACCGTACAGTCGTGACCACCCTGGGGCCCGTCTTCTGGACGTGAGTGTGGGGCAGGCCGGTCACTCAGGACTTGGCTGCGGCAGAAGCCCCCGTCGTAGGGGGTGATCACCTCTCCCCAGCAAACCGCCTTGCGGTGTCTGGCTGATTCACGGGCGTTCTTCCTGTTTCCAGAACCAGCGGGGCCCTGGGCTTCCCCTTCCCACCTTCCCTTTTGAGCGGGTGTGGAGAGCAGCTGATGCTTTGGGGTGTATGACGTTCCAGAAGGTGCTTCCCTGACCCCAGGCTGGCAGAGCTCTGTCTGCTCCCCAGCCCGGGAGAGACCCTTGGCAAATGCCTCAGCGGGGTGGCAGGCAGGTGGGCCCCAGAGACCCTCAAGGCCTGCGGGAGCCCTGGGTGCAGCCAGCCCGCGCTCATCTGGAGCGTGGTGATCTACGGCGGGGGTCGGACTGCTTCCTGCAGGTTAGACCCGACTTCCTGTGGATCTTCCCATGGAGCGGGTCCTCCCGTGGATCCTGCGGCTCGGACTCCGCGTTACTGGGACTCTGAGGTTTCCTTTCTGCAGAGCAGAGCGGGGACAGGATGGCCCAGAGCACGGCCGTGTCGTGGACTCAGCCAGGAAGTGAATGTCCAGGTCCTGCTGTTTTTGTTAGCAGTTTGGTCCTCTTCTTGCTCACCCACCCAGCAAGCTCAGCAGGAGTGGAAGGATCCAGAAAGCTGGTTCTGGACCTTTGTTTTTGTGGCTCCATCCCTGGTATTTCCCCAGGGGTCACATTAGACATATTAGGTTTCTGCTCACACCCATCCTGTTGGGCAAGATTTGAACTAAGAGGCAAGCCGAGGGCCTGAGCTGGGAGCTGGCCTGCCGCCGAGCCCGGGCCCCGCTCCTGTCCCTACGGCCTGCGTGTCCTCCTCGGGGTCCCCCTGTGTCCTGTCCCGGGCGTCTGGCCAGTGCGCCGGGCCTGGGAAGGGAGGACATGGGGGCAGGCCACGTGGGTGGCCTGTGCGGGTTGCGTCTTCACGAGACGTCTCCCTGTGGAAGCGGGCTGGTGGTTTTGGACAGAGGGCCCTGGCGAGGTTGTGGGGTTTCTGCGGCTTCCTTCTGATGTTTTGGCCCCGGAGCCGCAGATGACTGTTGCCGCAGAATGCCCGCCTCATCTCCTTGCTGTGAGCTGGGCTT